ATGGGGCCACGAAACGTGTGAGGGGTGTGCCGAAATGGGTGTGCGGGACGCATGCGGACGGCAGCACTGGGGCCTTCGGTGGAGCTCCCTGTGGGGCCACGAAACGTGTGAGGGGTGTGCCGAAATGGTGTGCGGGACGCATGCGGACGGCAGCCATGGGGCCTTCGGTGGAGCTCCCTATGGGGCCACGAAACGTGTGAGGGGTGTGCCGAAATGGGTGTGCGGGACGCATGCGGACGGCAGCACTGGGGCCTTCGGTGGAGCTCCCTGTGGGGCCACGAAACGTGTGAGGGGTGTGCCGAAATGGGTGTGCGGGACGCATGCGGACGGCAGCCATGGGGCCTTCGGTGGAGCTCCCTATGGGGCCACGAAACGTGTGAGGGGTGTGCCGAAATGGGCGTGCGGGACGCATGGCGGAGCCGGCACGGCTGCCTGGGGCCTTCGGTGGAGCTCCCTATGGGGCCACGAAACGTGTGAGGGGTGTGCCGAAATGGGTGTGCGGGACGCATGCGGACGGCAGCACTGGGGCCTTCGGTGGAGCTCCCTGTGGGGCCACGAAACGTGTGAGGGGTGTGCCGAAATGGGTGTGCGGGACGCATGCGGGCGGCAGCACTGGGGCCTTCGGTGGAGCTCCCTATGGGGCCACGAAACGTGTGAGGGGTGTGCCGAAGTGGGTGATGACGATGACGAAGACGACGATGACAATGACGATGATGATGATGACGACGACGATGACAATGGCGATATGATGATGATGATGATGATGATGATGATGATGATGATGATGACGATGATGATGATGATGATGATGATGATGATGATGATGATGATGATGATGATGATGGGAGGAGGGAGGAGGGGGAGGAGAGAGGAGGAGGAGGAGGAGGAGGTGGGACGCGGGGCGCTGTCTCTTCAAAACGAGGACCCAACACCACAGGATGGTTGGGAAAAACAGGGTGCGAGCCCCAGGAGGGGCATTTCAATCGAAAAATGCAATGTGCACCAGGCCCGGGGGGGGGGAGGGTCAACACTAATTGTTCATCAGAAGTTAGAGTTCAACAACAACAACAACCACAACAACAACAACAACAACAACAACACTACTCAGTTTAAGAGTGTTCGCTCTTATCTGCTCGCGTGCCACTCAACACGTATATCCCGAACCCTCGATACCCGCCCTGTCCGTATTCGACCGTACCCCCTTGGAGTACACATTTTTTATTTGCTGCGCGTATTTCGTGCAGCGCGTGAGGCAGAGGAAAAGAGTACGGATGGAAGGAAAGGGACAATGGGGAGGGAGGAGGATGGAGCACGAGAGAGACTAGGAGGAAGGGGGCTAGGAGCAGAAAACACGTGGCAGAGGCAGACGGGCATATTGGGCGGGCAGGTCCATAGCGGGCGGGTCGGGAAGGCGAACCCAGGCGGCCAGGTCGAGCAGGCAGGTTGCTGAAGCGTGCGTCCTGCATGAATGGCCAGGACGTTTCGAGCGACAGCTCGATTCCAAATCAATCGTGAGGAAATCCAAAGCGAGAGCGTGACTCCTGCATGTCGAGGGCGCGGCGCCTGAATACATTGCGAGGAAGTCCCACGCGAGAGCGCGATCTCTGAAGACATTGTGAGGAAGTCCCGCGGGAGAGCGTGATTTGGGAGTAAATTGTGAGGAAATGTAAAGCGGGAGCCGTTGTTCTTGTAGTTCGGGGCCCAACCAACAACGCAGTCTGAGGAGGAAGACTATCCCTGATAAAAAACCGGGTGCAAGCCCTGGGAGAGGCGCTTCACTGGGAAATTAGCCTGGCGAAGGACCCAACCATATGCAGTTGAGAGTACCGCAATTGTGAATAGCTTCTTCGGTGGCGCTCCCTATGGGGCCACGAGCCGTATGAGGGGTGTGCCGAAATGCGTGGCAGTGTACACAACACGAACGAAGACGATAGGTCCGAATATGAAAGCTTGAGCGCGTGCGAGTCGGATCGCGAGCGAGTCTGGTTATGAATGAATCTGCGCGCGATTGATTCTATTCGCATGAATGCGTGCATGGATACGCCCCGTGTAAATGTATGTATACGACTGTGAACAGTGTGGGTCTGCGTGACTCTCGGTACTCGTGACTCTGAGCGTCGCCTCTGCAGGGGGCTTCCCTGGGAACCCCGACGGCAGCGCCCGCGCGCCGCGACGCCCATGTCGGCACGCCACACACCTGGTGTGCGGGACGCATGCGGACGGCAGCACTGGGGCCTTCGGTGGAGCTCCCTGTGGGGCCACGAAACGTGTGAGGGGTGTGCCGAAATGGGTGTGCGGGACGCATGCGGACGGCAGCCATGGGGCCTTCGGTGGAGCTCCCTATGGGCCACGAAACGTTTGAGGGGTGTGCCGAAATGGGATTGTAGGGACGCCATAGCGAACGGCAGCACTGGTGCCTTCGGAGTGGCAGCTCCCTGTGGGGCCACGAAACGTGTGAGGGTGTGTGCCGAAATGGTTGAGCTGGAACGCAATGCGGACGGCAGCATGGGGCCCTTCGGTGGAGCACACTGTTGGGGCCAACGAACGAAACGTGGAGGGGTTGTGCCGAAATGGTGTGCGGGGACGCATGCGGACGCAGCATTGGGGCCTTCCTGTTGAGCTCCTTGGTGCCACGAAACGTTTGAGGGGTTGTGCCGAAATGGGTGTGCGGGACGCATGCCCTTACGGCGGCACTGAGGCCTCATCGGTGGAGCTCCTAATGGGGCCACGAAACGTGTGAGGGGTGTGCCGAAATGGGTGTGCGGGACGCATGCGGACGGCAGCCATGGGGCCTTCGGTGGAGCTCCCTGTGGGGCCACGAAACGTGTGAGGGTTGTGCCGAAATGGGTGTGCGGGACGCATGCGGACGGCAGCCATGGGGCCTTCGGTGGAGCTCCCTATGGGGCCACGAAACGGGTGAGGGGTGTGCCGAAATGGGTGTGCGGGACGCATGCGGACGGCAGCACTGGGGCCTTCGGTGGAGCTCCCTGTGGGGCCACGAAACGTGTGAGGGGTGTGCCGAAATGGGTGTGCGGGACGCATGCGGACGGCAGCCATGAGGCCTTCGGTGGAGCTCCCTGTGGGGCCACGAAACGTGTGAGAGGTGTGCCGACATGGGTGTGCGGGACGCATGCGGACGGCAGCATTGGGGCCTTCGGTGGAGCTCCCTATGGGGCCACGAAACGTGTGAGGGGTGTGCCGAAATGGGTGTGCGGGACGCATGCGGACGGCAGCCACTTCGGTGGAGCTCCCTATCGGTGGAGATCCCTGTGGGGCCACGAAACGTGTGAGGGGTGTGCCGAAATGGGTGTGCGGGACGCATGCGGACGCCAGCCATGGGGCCTTCGGTGGAGCTCCCTATGGGGCCACGAAACGTGTGAGGGGTGTGCCGAAATGGGTGTGCGGGACGCATGCGGACGGCAGCACTGGGGCCTTCGGTGGAGCTCCCTGTGGGGCCACGAAACGTGTGAGGGGTGTGCCGAAATGGGTGTGCGGGACGCGTGCGGACGGCAGCCATGGGGCCTTCGGTGGAGCTCCCTATGGGGCCACGAAGCGTGTGAGGGGTGTGCCGAAATGGGTGTGCGGGACGCATGCGGACTGCAGCACTGGGGCCTTCGGTGGAGCTCCCTTTGGGGCCACGAAACGTGTGAGGGGTGTGCCGAAATGGGTGTGCGGGACGCATGCGGACGGCAGCCATGGGGCTTTCGGTGGAGCTCCCTATGGGGCCACGAAACGTGTGAGGGGTGTGCCGAAATGGGTGTGCGGGACGCATGCGGACGGCAGCACTGGGGCCTTCGGTGTAGCTCCCTGTGGGGCCACGAAACGTGTGAGGGGTGTGCCGAAATGGGTGTGCGGGACGCATGCGGACGGCAGCCATGGGGCCTTTCGGTGGAGCTCCCTGTGGGGCCACGAAACGTGTGAGGGGTGTGCCGAAATGGGTGTGCGGGACGCATGCGGACGGCAGCACTGGGGCCTTCGGTGGAGCTCCCTGTGGGGCCACGAAACGTGTGAGGGGTGTGCCGAAATGGGTGAGCGGGACGCATGCGGGCACACCCACTGGGACCTTCGGTGGAGCCCCCTACGGGGCCACGAAACGTGCGAGGGGTGTGCCGAATTGGTGTAGACGATGAGATGACGACGATGACAAATGACGATGATGATGATGATGATGATTATTGAATGATGATGATGATGATGATGATGATGATGATGATGATGATGATGATGATGATGATGATGATGATGATGATGATGATGATGATGATGATGATGATGATGATGATGATGATGGGAGGAGGGAGAGGGGGAGGAGGAGGGAGGAGGTGGGACGCGGGGCGCTGTCTCTTCAAAACGAGGACCCAACACCACAGGATGGTTGGGAAAAACACATATGTCACCGGATGGGGGACCAACCGTAATTATTATGCAGTAATGGAAGCTCAACAACAGCAAAAGCAGCAACCATATCAACAACGGCGTTTTACAACAACAACAACAACCACAACCACAACCACAACAACGACGACGACAACAGCAACAGCACCAACGACAACGACAACGACAACGACAACAACAACAACAGACAACACCAGCAACAACAGCAATAACAGCAACAGCAACAACATCAGCAACAACAACAGCAACAACAACACCAACAACAACAGCAGCAGCAACAACACGAACGTCGACAACAGTAACAACAACCACCATAACAACCACAACAATGGGACCAATCACAGCAACAGCAACAACCCATCAGCAACAACAACAACCACAACCACAACCACAACAACAACACATAACAACAAACAACAAACATACAACATTATAATACGATTAATAGTAATAATAGTAATCGTGCTACTGGTAATACTAACAACACCAAACACAACACATCACGGACAGCCGCAACAGCAACAGACACAGCAGCGACAACAGCAACCGCAGCAACAGTAGTATCACCATCCCCCTCTAACTCTTCCTCCCCTCCACACATACAGACGGACGCCTCTGGTTGCCGTGTTGGTTCAGGACGTGACTCTGCGGGATGGCCCTGCCCCGTGTCGACACGGATACAGCAGGCCCGCGGCAGCTTCGCACTATGCCAGTGAGTTCGTGGCGGGGCAGCATCCCTCCGCTTCGTGGTGGTACGGCGGGCGCGTCATCCTGACCACGATTCTTTCGGACAGGGGATGGCTTCCTTCAACCAGGAGTTCCTGCATGACCGTGGGCCCGTGGCGCGTTCGTCTCTCGAGAGAGTGGCCGCTCCGCGCGGCGAAAGGCAGTGCGCGCAGGGACTAAAAGGGTGAGGGCTCTGGACGGGAAGGCGTGTTGCGGCATCGTGTTCATACATTTTCTTGGGTTTGCCGTGGTCTTCCTCCTCCTCCTCCTCCTCCGCCTCCTCCTCCTTCTCCTTCCCCCCAGGGTACCCGAAATCCTCCTCCTCCTCCTCCTCCTCCTCCTCCGCCTCCTCCTTCTCCTCCCTCCCTGTTCCGTGGCTCGCCCCATTTGTGGTGGCGCTCCGCCCGCCCCGTGGTGGTGGCGGTTCCCTCGACTGCCCCGCGCCCGTGGTGGCGATCTCCCTCCCTTCACGGCGGCCGAGGCGGGACCCGCAACGCAGCCCCACCCTTGGGCTGCACTCCACCTTTGCCGTGGGAGGCCGTCCGCCAGCTCGTGTGCTGCAGCTCGGGCCCTTGCGCCATCGAGGAAAAGAGAGAGCCGAGCCCGAATCCCATAGTGAAGACGTGGCCTCACTCAGCTCCCGGTCTTTGTATTGGGGACAAGTGTAAATCTGGTCGGTGTGGTTCGATGCACCCTCTGCAGGAAGGGCCCCCTGCCCCCAATGTTTGTGGCCCTCCCACAACTCGGGCCCCCTCCCGAAGGGTCGGGGGTCCCCTTGTTGGTCAATCGTGGCGGGCCCGCCTCGCTCTTGTCGTCGCTCGTCGGCCCGCCGATGGGCGGGATCCTGCACCGCCCGCGCGGCCGGACGAAAATTGGGCGAGGGCTCGGGACGGGAAGGCGTGCTGCGGCATTGTATGTATACATGTTTCTGGGTTTGCCGTGGTCCTCCTCCTCCTCCTCCTCCTTTTCCTCCTCCTCCTCCTTTTCCTCCTCCTCCTCCTCCTCCTCCTCCTCATTCTCCTCCTCCTCCTCCCCCCCCTCCTCCTCCTCCTCCCCCTCTTCCTCCTCCTCCTTCCCCCCAGGGTACACCCCCCTGCCCCCGATTCAAGGTCGGCTGGCATCGTCAGTGGGGCGCGGGGCCTCGGCCAGCCGACGGATCGGCACCTCGCGGTGCAGCCCGCTGATGATTTCTCAAGTTGGGGGCGCAGGGGGGCACCGAGAGTCAGCAGGAGAGGTCCAGGAGTTTGTCCATCGGCCGTTCCTCCTCCTCGTCCGTGGCCGTTGTCCTCATCTCCCCATGTCCTCCTGCTCCTCCTCGGAACGTGCAGTTGGGAAGCTGGCAGTTTTCATCATCGTATGGGTTCCAGTGGAGAGCAACAAAAAGATTACAGGCGAGGCTGATTCATGGGTCGACCCTGCCAAGTCAAGGGCACCCTCGAGTCCTCTTGCGTTCGCGACCCATGCCCTCTGGAATCCCTGCGGCCACCTGGCCCTCGGGAGGGCCTTGTGTCCTCTCGCGTGTCCTCTCCAATCAGCCCTGGTTGTGCTCCGTGGCCGTCGCGGCTCGAGGCGCTCTGCCCCCTCCCCCACGCGCACCCCGCCAGCCCCCCGCGCGGCGGGCCGCGGGGGGGGGCCGCCCACAGCCGCGGGGTGTCAATGCAGCAGGCGGGGCCCCCCGCGGCGGCCCCCTAGGGGCGCGCGCCAGCCCGGGGCAACGCCGGGGGAGAGCGGCCGAAGCTCCGGGGCACCGCCCGGGGGGGGGGGGCAGTGGAGCTCGGTCGACGACGCGCAGGCCCAGAGGTCCGAGGACGCGATCTCTTCTCTGGGGCCCCCCATGATCGGGCCCGGGGGCCATCGAAAACGGATCCGGGGCGAAAAGGCACCCCTGGGGAGGGGTCCGGGACCCTGGGGCCCGCGGATGGAAGAAGTCCTGTCGGCGGGTGTTTGGGGAGGGGGGTGGGGGGAGGGCCAGCCCGGGGCACCGCGGGAGAGCGGCCGAGGCTCCGGGGCAACGCTCGGGGGGGAAGTCGGCGGCGTCATCCCAGCATACGAATATGTGTGCGTCGCCCCCCCAGGGGCGACGCGCACGCCGAGAAGTCGTACCGTATGCGCGTCGTGGCGGGCGCTTTATGGCCACACCGCTCGGGAAACGATGTACGACAAGATCGTTATACTATACGTTCGGGTCGGACGCGCGCCTCCAAGGAGAACATATAGTATTAGTATGTCTCTGCGCGTCCCAAATCAAGCTCGATCGACCACGCGCAGAGGGGTGGTAGGGGGGATTGGGGAGTGCTTCCCAGAAGCTCCCCTGCTTCTTGGAGGGCGCGAGCCTTCTCCGTAGATGTAGGGCTGGCGCCTTCTGAGAAGCAGCCTCCTTCCAAGAAGCTTCCCCCACTCCCGTTGCCCCCCGCTGCGCGCCGCCAACTCGGGGGGCACGACCAGACCGAGGTATACGATCGAGGCTGCTTCGGGGAGGCTGCCCGACCTCATGTTCTTCGTGCGCATTGTGTGCCCTTGTGCACCCTGAGGAAGGGGTGCCCTGAAGGACGGTTCTCCTGTCGTGGCGGAGGGCCTCATGTTCTTGAGGGATGGTGTTCCTGCCCCTGCTCCGAATGTAGGCTCAGTGGGGGGGGGGGGGGGGATGCCTCGGAGGTCAGAGGCGTGAGGTCCTCGGGGGTGTTCCTCGGCCCCCGTCGGTTTCGCCGCCTCGGGGGGCCCCTCCAGAAGCTGCAGCTCGCCGAGGGCCTTCCTGGAGTGCCCGCATCGTCCCGAACGGCGACTTGGAAGCTAAAGATCGGCGTCCCTCCTCCTCCTCCCTCCTCCTCCTCCTCCTCCTCCTCCTCCTCCTCCTCCTCCTCCTCTTCCTCCTCCTCCTCCTCCTCCTCCTCCTCCTCCTCCTCCTCCTTGGACCCATGGGGGGGGAGTGGGCTCAGGGGTGGACGCATCGACCACCAATCGTCCATTCAGCGCCAGCATGGGGTCCGAAGGCCCCAGCCTGCCCAGGAGCGTGCAGGTTCGCCCTCGGGGGCCCGTCGCCGATCCATCGGCGGTGCATCGGCGGTTCGGGCTCGATGCTTCTCCCCCCCGGAGCGGGTCCTCCCTCGTCGTTGCCCCATCACGGATGCGGGCGGGACGGGTGGCGCTGGCGGCAGCAGGTGTCGCTTGGCATGCGCTCCCGGCTGGCGCAGGAGCTCGGAGGAGCAGCAAGGGCAGCGCCGCTGCCCCCCCCCCCTCTCTCCTGAAGTCCCCTGTTTTCGCCTCGTTGAATCTCTCCTGGGGGGGAGCTGTGGTGGGAAGAAAAAAGACTAAGGATGATAATAAACTAATGCGTAATATTATGGTATGCTTGTTCCTAAGCGCGTTGCCATGTAAGTATGTTTGGATATACCTTCAGGAACTTGTCCAAAGTCGTCTGTGGGGTCCTCGTCGTCACGGCCAGGTTCGCCTCGAAGTCCCTGTCAGGGCGCACCAAAGCAGAGCGGCCCAGGGAGCCGTGGCATCTGCAATCTTCTGGCCCACCGGGGCCCACTAGACGTAAGAGTGACCCTCCGCTGGAGTGACCCTTTGGTGCGGGCTCACAGGGGATCGGTGGTTCAAAGATGGGATACTGAAGGATGGGGTCCTCAAGGGTGGAGCCACATGGTTTGAGGCACGTCGTCCCCAGGACCCCATCCTCCAGGACCCCATCCTTGAACCGCCGAGGGGACTCCCCCGGCACTGGCCTTCGCGCTTGCACGTGGCCTGCCCGCGACCCCCCAAAGCCGCGCCCCGACGGTTGCTCTTGCACGCGGTGACCCTTTGCGTGTGGTCCACAGGGGCGCCCGTCACCGCGGAGCGCCTGGGAGACCCCGAGAGCTGGGGCAGCGCCCGCTACTCCGACTCGCGGCCCTTGCTGTCCTGGCGGGACCTCAGCGAGCAGGGCCGCATGGGCGCCGTCTGCGACCCGGCGGCCAACCCGGTGAGCGAGTGCGGCTCGGGCCTCGTCTGCCGCTCGGGCATCTGCCGCCACTGCCGGGCCGACCACGAGTGCCCCACGCTGCACCGCTGCAGCATGCCGCTCGCCGGGGCGTCGCGCTGCGTGCGGGAGGCGCGGAAGGCCTGGGAGCTGGCCTTCACGGACCCCTGGGAGGCCTTCTGCACCATGCTGATCCTCTTTGCAGCCACCCTGTCTGCCGCCGCCGGCACCGGCGGCGGCGGCATCTTCGTGCCGGTCCTGATCTCGTTCTCGACGCTGAAGGCGGAGTCTGCGGTGCCTCTGTCGCAATGTATGTGTTTGTGCGGGTCGCTGGTCAACGTATCCGTGTTTGTAGCGAGGCGCCATCCTAAGTCGTATGACAGCCCCGTGATCGATTACGATGTCGTCATGCTGTTCGCCCCGATGCTGTTCCTCGGGGTCACGCTCGGCGTGCTGCTGAACCAGATGTCTCCGCAGTGGCTGCTCCTCCTCCTCTTGATGCTGACGCTGGGCGTCGCGCTGTGGAGGAGCGGCGGCAAGGGCCTGAAGCAGTACCGGCAGGAGAACGTGGTGCTCGAGCAGATGGCACAGATGTCCGCACGCTCGGGAGAGTCGAGGGTGGCCGACGCCGTGGCCGACGCCGCGCCCGCGGCGGGCGACACTCTGCGCGGCTACTTCGACCAGGTCGCAGAGCTCACCGACAGCTACGCGTGGCAGGTGGTGGGCGTCTTCGCGGTGTGGATGCTGATGCTCGTCTACTCCACCATGCGAGGAATAGAACATTGCATGAACCGAAAGCTTCGGAACTCCGCGCGGGTCTCTCGGATCTGCGCTGGGCCTTCCTGGCGGAGCCGGAGGCGCCGCCCCCGGCGCGTTCCGCGCGCCAGCGAGGAGGTCCCAGCGCCGGTCCAAGAAATCCGCACAGACCTGCGAAAGCTTATGTATGTGCTGTCTTCCCTTCCTCTAACCATGGGCGCGCAGGTCTGCACCACAAGCTGGGCCCTGTCTCTCTTGGTGCTGTCAGTCATGCTGGTCGCGTGCACTATGGCCGCTTTTCGTTACATCACGAGGCCCGCCCCGAGGAAGTCCTCGAGCTCCAGCCTACAAGATGTGGCGCCATCGTACGGCGCCGTGGAGGTGGTCGAACAGGACTTCAGGTTGGGCAGGAGCCTCATGGAGGCCTCAATGATCGAGCGCTTGAAGTTCCCTGGCGTGGCATT